CCATTCAAAGAAGATGGTACGTTATGCTTTGTAAGTATCAATGTATGTATTTATTTATTATATACATTAAATATGAAGCCTCATTTTTCCCCATTAACAATGCCATTCATTCAATCTTGGCACTCACCCAAGGGAACCAAACACTTGGCACTGCATGCCTTCGCTACAGATATCATAACGCCTGTATCGTACAGACGCCACAATGATCAGGAAGTAAGGATTTGAAAGCGAGTGATTGTGGTTTTTTCTTCCAACCGGAGACACACATGAAAATTCAGAACAGAGGATTGCGAACGAGATTTAAACCTGATATCTCCCAAGTTGCTGCTCCATTATCTTCCCTGTTAATGAAGCACATTTATTTCTTTATTAGAGTAATTTCCGTTGAAAATTCAACGGAGAGTCTCACAACTTTGTATATATAAACTACAGAAGACTAAAACGTTTGAATAAGGTAAATGCAAACATAAACGAATTAAAAGGCGATGCCACAAAACATAGGCCGCGTATTCCGAATCATTCCGGGCAAACATAGGGAGCAAATTCTGTGCCCTCCAAGGCAAACATAGGCCAGAATGTTGTATGTTCTATAACATACCTTTATATTTTAAACGTTTAAATGAGGCAAAATAGTCCACTGTATGAAACAAACACTAAATTATTCTTACTCATCATTAAATTAAAGTTCTAAAACGGACTGACGCCATATCACACAACTGTTCTACGTATGTTTAGTCACGGAGCCCATAGGGATCGCTTTGAAACAATAAACGGTTGACATATAGCGAATCAGACGTTGACAATGTTTAAAGGAATGAATCACGTGACACAGAAAATTCACTGGCCCTTGGCAAATATCACTCTGATATTCTAAAGAAGAGTCAAAAGAAAACCACGAGCAATTATCATGCTACCCGGTTCCACGTCTCCGTAATGCGAATCAAAAATAACAAGGCTACGATATTCTGCTCGGTTCGGTATCACGGACCTACGCTAAGTTATTTCAACCAGTCTGAGGTCCAGGAAGTCGAGAAGGATGAGCGGCACGGGGAATGAAAGGACGAGACGCCCGCTGCAGTGATGCAATGCAAATCCCTCAGAAGTGGGAATCGATATAGAGTAATTTCCTTGGGAGGTCTGCATCCAGGTCGATGGACAATATATACACACGAACTTACAGAATATTGTGGGTTTTTGGACTGTGAAAATTACGGTCTCTGGAATGTAAGGCCGTTTACTTCAGACAGCGCTCGATGTTTCGGAGGAACATATAGTCTCATCTTCAGGGTCAAATATACGCGAGTGCTCCATTTTGCTTTTTTTTTTAACTCTCCGGAAATCTATACAATTAACTTTTGGCCTTAAATTGCAGAGTCACCACACAATTTTATAGCGTTATCTCTGTCTATCTATATCTATATCTATCTATTTACCTTCCTACCCATCTATGGTTCTACAGCCCATTGTTGGAGCTTGGCCGCATTTTCGGTTTCTTTATCTTTTTACACAGTCGGTAGGGCTCCTTGGACGGGAGTTCATCCCGTTGCAAGGTCGTTACTTCCTACAAGCAGAGAAATATAAACACAGAATATACGAACACACCCATCCATGCCTTCAGTGGAATTCGAACACACGATCCAAGTGTTTCAGCGAACGAAGACAGTTCATCATGCCTCAGACCGCGCAGCCGCTGCGATCGGCAGAATTTTATAGACAGCAGGCCTAAAACTGGGATTTTTTTTTATTGCTAGTGGGGTGGGACTAAGTCCCTTGTACTGCGGCCACTTCTGGCCTACTGTACCAGCCCCAGATGATAGGTGAGGGTGATTGTGGAGCAATTGGTGGAATGAAGATTGACAGGGGAAAACGAAGTACTCGGAGAAAACCTGCCCCAGCGCCACTTTGTCCACCACAAATCCCACTTGACCAGACCAGGGATCGAACCCGGGCCACCGCGGTGGGAAGCCAGCGACTAACCGCTTGAGCTATGGTGCGGCCTAAAACTTGGATAGTTCAACAAATTAACTCGACAAGAACAGGAAGGCTGAGATTCGATTCTCGGACAGAGGATTGGGGTATTTTACTCTTCACTCGATTTATTCGGTGCTGATATCTCCAACCTTGGAGTTAAAACGAAGGGACCTCGAAGTTCGCTTCTCTCGTGAATTTAGTACCGAAGTACAGAATGTGTGGCGCCTGTTTCACCATACGCTCAAATTTTGGGGGTTCGAAACAGGAAAAATTCTAGTCTACAAACTATACTTCTTATTGCTCGATTTGAGATCCTTATGGCGTTTACGGTGAAGAGTAAGGTTTTCTGGTTGTAGGTCCGTGTACTTGGGAGAGTGAATAGCGTTCGCAGTAAAATAGCGCATCCATCTTCAGGGTCGAAGAGTAAAACACGCAGGAAACCGGAAGAAACAAGTGGAAGGTGAGACACGGTTGGTTTGCCGCCTGCTTACCTTGAAATGCAAGACGTTACAAGCCAGAAAATAATAGCGCTCCTCATGCGGGCTTTTAATTTTTTGCAAGGACTTAATCAACACATTTCGAAGGGCCGCGCCATAGCTCAAGCGGTTAGTCGCTGGCTTCCCACCGCGGCGGCCTGGGTCTGATCAAGTGGGATTTGTGGTGGACAAAGTGGCGCTGGGGAAGGTTTTCTCCGAGTACTTCGGTTTCCTCTGTCAATCTTCATTCGACCAGTTGCTCCACAATCACCCTCACCTATCATCTGGGGCTGGTACAATAGGCCAGAAGTGGCCGCTGTATAAGGGACTTAGTCCCACGCCACTGGCAATAAAAGAAATAATAAACACATTCTGAGGCTCTGTGTAAACCAAAACTGAGTGTATTATCCTGCCACAGTATAGAATAAAGACCAACAAATCGTGTTAACTGTGTTTTATGATGTATTAATCTGTGATAGAACAGAACGTTGTATTCTAGAGCAAATTATGGACATTATATATTTCATAGTCACCGATTAATCTTAATCAAACGTTCCCAAAATCTAAAAGGATGTGAAGATGGTACAGTAATACAAATTATGTTTCTGCACATTATTTATCGTCCTGTTTTTATTTTAAAAAACCGTTTCGGAGACTGGATACTGTCTCCGTCTTCAGGTAAAACCTACTCAGTTGGGTCGAATAAATGGATTCGGAGTTGGGGGTTAGCTCACTCGATTGGGCCAAACTGAGTAGGTTTTTACTTGAAAAAGAGACAGAATTCTGTCTCCGAAACATTGTTTTGAAAAATAAACGGGAAGGTTTTAGATAAAGACAAGACGATGGATAATGTTGAGGAACATGTTTGCTCCCAAAATATACTGAGCGCCATGCGGTCTATTTTATTTTTAACTTACATAAAGAAAGTTCTGTTTTATATTATGATATTTCCTGTTATGTTCAGGAAAGTGACATACCATCGAATAAACTCATATTTCTCTGAAAATGTAAGTCACATCCTGATGGAAGTATTAACAGTATTTCAAATTGAACTCTGGACAAAATAAAGGTCCCGAAAACAAAACAAACTAGACCGTACTTTCTTGAATTACAAATACTATGAAAATATTATATTTTTTCCCCGCGAGGGAAAATGTGAGTCTCTGGGGTGTTTATTTTATGGGCTCTGTTTCTAATTGCAGATATCAGGTAACACAAGAGCAAATATATGTTATTTATTTTCGAATTATGAATGTTTTGAATTTCTTTTCGTAACTCCTAACTAGAGGCTGTGCGTCAGGACGAGAATGGTTAATTTATAAGAACAGATTTTCTGTACGACAAACCAAAATATAGAAACAACTCTACTGCACTCACAGAACTGATTTTTTTATGTGTTTGAATGTAGTAACCTCAATTTCTGTGTCGATTTTCCTTCCCAGAGCCCTCTACACTGTCACGTCATCGTTTTAGCCGAAGAATGATTGACAATTTCCTTACGAGTCCAATACCACGATTACCGTTGACACAGCACAGAATTACAATCTTTTAGTCCCTTAAGATATAAAGTTAGGATACTGCCATATTGTGTTAAGAAAGTTATCAAAGTCAATCCGTTTTAATATGGAAATATAAAGTATATATCAAGACACTTATTAAATTATTTCAATTTATATTCGTAACTGTTTTATGAATTAATGAAGTCATAAGATATTAGTAAGCAAAAATATCTTCTTTAAAATATCCGGAATGCAGGTCCATAGTTATTGCACACTGACTCCTCGTCTTACGGACGCTCTATTTCATCCATTTTCACCTTTCAGGAATTTGACGTATTAGTAGATATACACTTTTTTCGGTATGAGTAATGAATTTTTCATACGAAGTAAACACGTCAGAGCGTACCCCCGAACCTTACAAATTCTACCAGTCAGTGAATCATCGCCCATTGATATCAAATTGCGTCCGTTCCATTTTCCTTTTCATGTTTAGATCCCTTTCTTCCCTTATGCAATAAACTGTATTTATTCTCATGAATACTTTTCATTATATTACATAAATATATACATATTATTTGTAACATTTATTTACCTTTCTTTGTTACTATTTATATGACAAGTATTATCACGATAAATGTAATTACTATGATTAAATTTACCGGATTTTTTTTTCCCGTTCAATAAATTTTCGTTCTAGTAATGAATCTGATGGAACGCACGTCTTTCGCAAAACGAGGGGCCAGTGTATTTGAGAAATAATTAGTAAACAAAATGAAATATCAAATAAATATTCTCCTGCCTTGAATAATCCTGCTGGCACCAACACAAACCACATCACTGATAATCACATTTTGAGCAAAATTTTGTGGAACACATACTGTTGCCTCACTGTAATAAGTACTATATTTTTGTATACAGTCTAAGAGACTGAAGCTTACACAGTTGAATAAACAGAACACGTGCTTATTTTATGCACGGATTACATTTTTCTCTGTAGCACTACAAAACGTCGCGCACCAATTTTGCTTTATTTTACTTTCCAAAGTGATATTACCTATTGTGTAACGTTAATTACGCTGGGTAATTCCTGTATGAACGCCAAGCACATCACTCCTCGCAAATCACAATACACTGAACCCACTACTGGTACAGAGCACGTAGCACTAGCCAAGCTTCACTGACTTACGAATATACACACCGTTTCCATCAGAAGCAGCCGACATGGCCCGAAGTTACGCGGACATTACCGAATCGAACTGTTAAATTATGTAATTCTAAATAGGCGTCTGTATGCTTACAGCAGGTATGTTGGTAATATATACGAGATACAGCGTGTGACGAGACCAATCAGCGGCAGAAGAACCTCCAGAAAATGGAACTCACTGTCTACAGAATTGCTGCTCGGTCATTTTGTTAGACTTGCTAACAAATAATTGAAAAAGGGCTACCGGAGACTTCTCGTGCGTGCATAACAAGTGTTCGCATATTAATACTTACATTTTGTAGTTACTTCCTAATTACTAGGCTGATTCACTCAACAGGTCACGAAGATATTACCTTGAAACTCAAGTTCAATAGCAGTCTTCACCACTGACATACTATCTATCCAGCCACCTACCTACTCNATTACCTTGAAACTCAAGTTCAATAGCAGTCTTCACCACTGACATATCTATCTATCCAGCCACCTACCTTACCGGATACGTACCTACCTACCTACCTACCTACCTACCTATCCATCCATCTATTCCTCTTGCTCCCACCTGGACCATAGGCAATCTGTGAAACACTTCCTTTCACTTCAGTTTCTGAATTTTTCATAATCTGTAGGACTCCTTGGACTCCTTGCAAGGCCGCTACCTACAAAGGACAACACAAAGAACAAACATACACAGACATCCATGCCTCGAGTAGTATCCGAACCCACGATCCCAGCGTTCGAGTGGGCGAAGACATTTCATGCTTTAGGCCGCACGGCCACTGTGATCGGCTATATTTTTTTTATATTCAAATGAAAACTTGTATGTTCTTTCTTTCATGTTTTCGTTGTTTTCTATATTTCTTCCTTTATTTCCGGTTTTCGTTCTTCATTACGTCACCGAGATTTTTTTTACGAAGAGGGGTCAGCCGGTTTCCTAAAGGTGGGTACCAAACAATTTGCATATGTACTTATGTTTAAGCCGCCTAATGATATTTTTATTTATCGCCCTAGAATAATCTTTTTAATAGCAAATTGGACTTAAATTTGAGGAAGAAACTAGTGAAATACTACATTTGGAGCATAGCTCTGTATGGGGCTGAAACATGGACACTTAGGGCAGTAGATCAGAAACATCTGGAAAGTTTCGAAATGTGGTGTTGGAGAAGGATGGAGAAGATCAGTTGGACCGATTATGTGAGAAATGAAGAAGTGTTAATCAGAGTCAGTGAGCAGAGGAATATCCTACACGAAATAAGAAAACGGAAAGCTAATTGGATTGGTCATGTTTTACGCGGAAACTGCCTTCTAAAAGAAGTTATTGAAGAAAAGATAGAGGGGCGGATAGACGTGACAAGAAGACGAGGAAGAAACGTAAGAAGATGCTGGATGGCCTTGGGGACAGGAGAGGATACTGTCATTTGAAGGAGAAAGCTCTAGAGAGAGAGTCTAGAGAGTCTCTAGAAGAGACTGTGGACCTGTCGTCTGACAGATTACTGATGATGATGATGATGCCCTAGAATATTCCCAGTAAAAGAATAGTCTTTGCAAATACTTTTTTTTATTTATGTTGTCACGTGAATGCATGACTATAGACGGGGTTGAGATTGGTAATCGGATTCATTGGACTGTTTGATACAGCACGTGACTACATAATACAAGTCATTATTACACACACATTAGTGTCCACTATGATATCTTCACTAGGCGTTGCTTGGTGTCGGCTTCAACGGCAGACGTTCCCCTTCATCTGGGTTCCCGAACTCCCAGATTCTCAGAGCAACAGTTCACAACAACTAGACCGCAGTAGTCGTCAAACTCATTCATTCATTCACCAATTCCTCACTAACTGCTCTGCTTATGTCAGCAAGGAGAGCGTAGAAAACGCTGCTTCCCGTTGCTGTTGTATCCTCGTGTTGCCATGGAACAGTTGCGTTCGTGTATGTCGTGTCCCCACGGCCGTTAATTTCGGTTTTCTAGACCGGAGCCGCTACTTTTCCATTCAAGTTGCTTCTCAATTATCCTAACGGGGCTGAGTGGACCCAGTTCCAGGCCCACAACTTCTCAGAAAATCTGGTAGCGCCGTGAATCTAACCCGGGACCTCTGAATCTGTAGCCAGGAACTATGACCACTAGACCTCCGATACTTATTTTCTTCTAAATATTGATTATTCCCTATAAAACCAGGGGACATATGTGTGGCTTGCCCTCCCTCCAGCCGACGCCCACGCCGTCCTTTTTCTAATTTCCATATTCGTTCGTTTGTTTCTTAACAAGATCATTCATTCGTTCCAGCCTGTCTACCTTTTCGTTTACAGAACTTATAATAAACCACTAAAATGTTTTAATCCCATAGGTTGTAGAGCAGTGTTAATTGTTGCATTATCACCACGACACTCAGTTGAACACGAGATCACTTCTCTAGTACACCCCCGCCCCCACCTCCCTGCCCCAAATAACTCTTACTCACAAAATGGAATAACGTTAAGGATGCAGAACTCAAAATACAGAGCCTGGGCTACGATCCATGAGCCCAGTAGAGGCGTGTACCTCTCTCTGAAGCCGCGAAGAGGCGTACGGTCGTTACATTGGAGTCTCGAGTGGCAGAAAAAGTGCTAGGAGGGCGATAAGTCCTCTTCGACAGAAACAATTCAATTTAGTTTCTGGTGTCGAGCGTCTGGCACAAGTCTGGTGTCTCAGACGTCCTCTCTTATGGCAGACAGTGGGCTCTGTGTAGCTGAGATTTCTTCTTACTTCCACTTTGTGTCCACTTTCAACTTTTGTATGATAGATATTCCCGACTAGAAGAATGTTCTGCCGATCACAGTGGCCGCGCGGTCTAAGTCACGAGCTCTCTTTGATCGCTCCGACACTGGGATCGTGGGTTTGAATTCCACTCAAGGCATGGATGTCTGTGTGTGTTTATTCTGTTTGTGTTGTCTGTGTGTAGGTAGCGGCCTTGTGACGGGCTGATCCCCCGCCCGAGGAATCCTACTGACTGTGTATAGGATCAAGAAACTGAAAAAGCGGCCAAGGCCCAACGAAGGGCTGTAGAGCCATAATAATAATAATAATAATAATAATAATAATAATAATAATAATACTCTGCTATTCGACAGGGACTGGCAACTGTTGTCCCTGAGATAAAGTAATCAGAACACGAAGCCAACCACTCATTTCTATAAAAAACCCATGGGACTGTAATTTCACTTCTCCACGTCTACATGAAGTCGTGCTTAATTAAGCACCACTTCCATTCATGTTAAGTTAGTCCTCAGGTTGCGGATGGAGGAGACGTCCTCTAAGATATGAGGTTAAAACGTAAAGTTATTCCTGTGATTAATTAGTTAAGCTTTATGCCATGAAGATAAGTGGAGGAATAGCTCCATCACTATTGGCCTCGGCATTGGATGGAGGTTACTGGTCAGCTACAAGCTCCGGCCGATCTACTCCCAGAGAAAGTGCCCCGGCACCCACTGGATAGGGGGTTTAGTGGGGCCCTGGGCCTGTAAGGACGCTGTGGACAAGAGCAAAATCTTACTTCTGCTGGGATCCGAAGCCCGAAAGTCTATCTCGTAGCCTGAGAAATATATTAAATGAATGCGGACAGCCGACAAGGGCTGGTCCTCCGGCTTCCTTTCAGTGTAATAAAAATATGGCTCGTTAAGAAATCTTTGACGGAAGCCTGTGAACTCGGCAATGAAGTCTAAAACTTTAAGTTCTCGAATAGCTCAGAGGCGTTGGGGTTTCAAGGGCTCTGATCCATGGAGGCACTTCATATCATTTCTTTACTTAGCTACCCTTTCCTTCTTGGAACACGACAGGACCCGTGTAAGGTACTAAAGAGCCAACACCTGCGTACACATTCCCCAGGTGTTCGCATGATGGGCAGTGCCCGGGTATTAAGAAACACCCACTGCAAAGCTATTAAAATTGCACCTGACAAACACTGCGACTTGATGACCACCGTTTCCTTTATGGTACCAACTAATTCTGGATAACACTGATGAAATGATCATTACAGCGTGAAACGACTCAATCATCTTCTCAGGGAAGTTTCCTCTCTCTCTGTCCCGCCAGTGCGTGATACTCCCTTGTCAACTTTCACCAGATCCAGAGTTACGATTGGATGTTGGATTTATTGCAACTTATTCACACATTACTCGGACCTACAGGAAACTGTTCCCACGCTCTACAATTCACTGACATACACAGTACTGTGTGCTACTGCTGCTTGTTGCTATTCCGTTCCGAACCTCTTGTTTTCCCGTCTGCTCTCAAAACCTTCAAAATTAAAATGAACAAAAAATATATAATTTTGCCTGTAGTTCTGTATGGGAGTGAAACTTGGTCTCTGATGTCAAGTGAAAAACATATACTGAAGGTAATTGAGAACAGAGTGCTGAGGAGAACGTTTGGACCGAAGAGGGATGAAATGGTACAAGGTTGGAGAAAACTGCGTAATGAGGAGCTTCTTAAATTGCTCCCTTGGCCAATTATAATTATAACGATAAAATCAAGGATAATAAGATGGGCGGGCCATATAGCGCGCATGGAGCAGATAAATGCGTATAGGATTTTGGTGCGAAAGTCTGAAATAAATAGACGACTAGGAAGAACTAGAAGTGAAAGAATAATATTAAAATGGATTAAAATGGAAATAGGATTGGGTAGTATGGACTGAATTGATCTTGCTCAGGATAGGGACCAGTGGAAGGCTCTTGTGAACACGGTAATGAATTTCGGGTTCTATAAAATGTTGGAGAATTCTTGAGTAGCTGAACGACTGGCAGTTTATCTATAAGAACTCAACTCCATTGAATTAGGTAGTTAGTTACGAACAAATTACGGTAAGTGACTAACTAATTCACTCTCCTGTATGAGAACTCCAGGCAGACAATAGAACACAGGATTCCGGTCTTCTGGGATATATTG